CCTAACTGCCAATCTAGTAGAATGCTTAAATTCATGCAGTCAAGACACCAAGGAGGAAAGCTCATCAGAACTATTACCATGAAACTATTTGTATGAAAATGTAACAGCAAAATTGTCCAAACCGTGTAAAAGCATATTTGTTCATCCCACAAATTGCTTAATATCTAAAATGTACTAAACTGATTCGGTTTCTTTTTCTCCAGGTTTTCAGATAATATTAATATCAGGGAGGCTCGGTGGAGTAATGGATAGCAGCTCAGATTGAGGAATCGGAGAGCCGAGTTCGAATTCCAGTCCAACCCATTACATTCACTTACGTGCTAATACCCTTGGGGAAAAGGTATGAATCTTCTTCTTCTTCTCCACCCCCCCCACAGCTATGGGTAAATAGCAGGACAGAGTAGGTTCTGTAGCCTGTATGTGGCAACTGGTCTACCACAGAAAGAAATGGCAACCTACTGCGGGAGAAAAAAATCTGGCTTGTCAGTCATGTATCGAAAGATACATGATCGCCTAATTGTGTATCACGCATGGCACATAACTGACGGATTCTTTGTATGAAAGGTTTGAACTGCTGAAATGAAAATGGATTGAGGAATAAGCCGAGTTCGAATTCCAGTCGAATCCATCTTACGTGGGAAAGGTATGAATCCTCTTCAAAAAGTTAGCTATGAGTAAATAGCAGGATTTAGGTTCTATAGTCTTGGATGGCAACTGGTCTATCACAGAAAGAATTGGCAACCTACTGCGGGATAAAAAATCTGCCTATCGAAAGATACATGATCGCCTATGCGTGTATCACGCGTGGCACACAACTGACTGAATATCATTTGTCGTAAGAATCGTTTTAAAACCCTTTGAGTTATTCAGCTAGAAAGAGAGCAGGTTAAAATCGTTTTGTGTCAGTCCCACTATGTCTTCCCAAATGAGCAATGGTGAGAGCAAAAAGACCAATTTGGCCTTCAGTAATGGTACCAACATTCATTCTCTGGCTTCCATCTTCAAAGTCTATTCAAGAACCATCAAAAGAATTGATGGTCTTTGGGTCTAGTCACTGGATCTAACCAACGTCTTTATCCACTGATATTTCCAGGCTAGAGCAGTGGCGAGTTAAATGAAACACCCGGAAGAGGCATGGCACGTGGAACTAGAAGAATCTACCCCCCGGTGGACGAAATAAAGGGTTCGGTTTGAAATTCCAATCACCTGAAGAAGGCCGGAGCGTACAACGGCCGAAACGTTGTGAATATGACAATGAAGATGAGGATAACAGTCCGAATAATGTAAGTAATACCTCATCTCAGAGATATAGACAAGTATTGAAATTTTATTGGCGCGAGATCAAATAAAATGTACGTAATTTCATCCTGGTTCGTACGAACTCCAAAGTAACTTTTTAATATGTATTCATCGTTTCATTATTTTTGTTCTTTCATTCAGTATATATATATATATATATATATATATATATATATATATATATATATATATATATATAAAATTATTTATTTAAAAATATGATTAAATAAAAGAAATAAATAATTATATTTATTTTAATTTTTTTATCATATACCATTTTAAAAATAATAAATAAAATACTAAAGAACTTTTGGATTATTTACCTAATGAGTTCTTTCCTATTTTTATATATTTTCACACACACACGTATATATATATATATATATATATATATATATATATATATATATATATATATATATATATATATATATATATTGTAATGGAAATGTTATTATAAACTTCTTTTGGTCTGAAATGTTATTATTAACATTATTCCGGACTATTGTCCTCATCTTTGTCGCCATACTTATTACAACGTTTTGGCCGTTGTACGCTCCGGCCTTCTGCAGGTCGTTGGAATGTCGAAGTTTCGCTCACTAATGCCTTTATCCACTGTGCCATGTGTCTTTTTTTTAACCATTTTTACCAGTGCTCATATTGCAATTTTTTGCCGTTATCATTTCATAATTTTTTACCAGTGCTCGTATTGCAATTTTTTTTTTTTTTTTGCAGTTATCATTGCATGTTTTTACCAAAGCTCATATTGCAAATTTTCTTTTTATTATTGCTTGATTGGTCTGGAAATATTATTGTTAAATTTTTTTGGTCTAGAAATGTTATTTATTGCTAACTTTTTAGGTCTGGAAATGTTATTATTGTTAACTTTTTGGGGTTTGGAAATGTTATTATTGTTAACTTTTTTTGATCTGGAAATGTTATTATTGTTACCTTTTTTGGTCTGGAAATGTTATTATTGTTACCTTTTTTTGGTCTGGAAATGTTTTTATTGCTAACTTTTTTGGTCTGTAAATGTTATTATTGTTAACTTTTTTTGGTCTGGAAATGTTATTATTGTTAACTTTTTTTGGTCTGGAAATGTTATTATTGTTAACTTTTTTTGGTCTGGAAATGTTATTATTGTTAACTTTTTGGGTCTGAAAAATGTTATTGTTAACTTTTTTGGTTGAAATGTTATTAT